GAGAGAGAGAGAGAGAGAGAGAGAGAGAGAGAGAGAGAGAGAGAGAGAGAACAAACAGTTGCCCTCTCAGAACAGGACAGATTATGGTATCATTTTCATAGACACAACAAATAAATCAATCTATAACTCATACAAGAACCTACACTCATAAAGCAGTCATACACATATAAACACACACACAAACAAACATTCACACACAGCACAAAATAATAATTAAGTTTTAGTAAGTGTTTCACGGCACTTGCAACAAAATAAGGTCACTTGAGTGCCGAAGATTAGAGGTGTTACAAGAGAGTAACAAACATAAAAAAGGAGAGATAAGGATGATAGATGTTTGATAGGAAAGAAGAAGCAAACCACACCAGAGCCTCCGCCAACCACCCGCACAAAATAATATGCTGAGAAGCAAGCTTTACTTACTAAGTTACTGCAAAAAGCCGTCTAAAAATTATATATAGATGAAAAAACTATTTTGGAGTATTTTCAAAATAAGATATGAATGATTTAAAAGACAAAAATAGGTAACTACATGGAAACATGTACAAGAAAATGGATGATATGAAAACAACAACACCCACACAAATAAATAAAATAAACAGATAAATGAATAAATAAATAGATAGGCCTAAACAAATAAATAAATAAATAAGTAAATAAATAAATAAATAATTTTGAATGAATGAATGAATAAATGAATGAAAGAAAGAATGATTGAAAGAATTAATTTTTGTTTTAGTTTTAGTAGAGGTGTTACGGCGTTCGCAACTGCATAAGGTCATAGGAGCGCCAGAAGATAGACTAATTAGAAGTGTTACAAGAGAGTAACAAACATTTAAAAAAAGAAGGGGAGATAAGGAAGATAGATGTTTGAATTAATTAATTAATGATTGAACGAATGAATGAATGAAGGAATGAATGAATGAATGAATGAATGAAAGAATAAAAATTATTTTGTACTCACTTAAAGAGCGTGACACAGAGGCCAGCTATGTATGCTCCGACTGTCAACACAGCGAAAACCCACCACACGCTGGTGAGAATGCGACCAGATATGGACTTGGGTGCTGATGTGTACCCTGTGAATGTGGGCTTTCAATCATCAAAATTTGATTTTCTTTGCAATACTTTCAATAAAATGTAGGTTAGTTCGAAGATTATCATAATACTTTGTAATATAAAACACCTAATATCATGAATATTACCTCATCTAGTTGAACGGAAAGTGCATAATTTACAAGAGGAATAACCATGACTTGTAAGAAGTAGCCTAGATTTATAAGGCCACATTATATTCCTTAAGCATATTACATCCCCTCCTCCCTCCCCCCGAATCTCCCCTCCTTCTTTTTAGTATTTGGTACTCTCTTGGAACACTTCCAATCTTTGGCACTTATACGACCTTAAATTGAGTTGCAAGTGCTGTTGAAGTTGTTGTTGTTGTTATGCTGTTATCGATACAGCAACAGATGGGCTCTCACCCTTCTGTCCAATGCCATGTAGGGATAAATGCAGGTTTGCTGCAGTTGCTGTAATCTTCCATAGAGTGTGTTGTCAATGTTAGGTGTCGGAAGGAGAAGTGTAGCTCTGATGTCATTTCGGGCTGAAGAGTGTGAAGAGTGGAAAAGGTGATGATCCACAGTCTCATGGGATAGTCACAAAGCTCTGGTTTTATTCTTGTTTAAATGAAAGTTGAGCGGTATATATTCTGTTTGTAGGCGGAAGATCGTGGTCTGTTTCTTTCTCTGTAGGTGGTTGATATTGTCATTTCGTTTTGTTCGGGTCATACGTTTTGCAAGTGCCGTAAAACTCTTACTCACAACAAACAAGAAAAAAAAAGTCTAAACCTCTGTTCAACCTCACATGCTTTTCCAGGGATAGATTTTTTTTTTAAATACCCCCCCTTTCACAGACTTGTGGTCTTTCAACCAATGGAAAATATTTCTAAGTTCCTAACAAGATGAAAATTATTTTCAAATCACAGTCAGCTCTCAAAGCAAACACCCTCAAACAATGACATTCGTTTCTAAGATGAAACTTATTCCAAGTTCCATGCTCTCCAAAAAAAAAATCCTGGGTGAATTTAACATATGGGGCATTCTGGGTGAAGGGAACCTCTCTTTCTACTCTCACCCATCCCCATCCCTTCCCATCCATCACAATCCCCTCTCACCCATCCCCATCCCTTCTCACCCATTCCTTCCCACTCAGATCCTACTCCAACTTCCTCAACCTGACCCCTTTTACCCAAACCCCCC